AGCATTTTCATCTCAAATTCCTTAAATAATAATAATAAAAAAATCTTCCAAAGAATTTTTTTTAAAGGAATCTAAAGCGATGGTGAAGTTGCTTTATCCGTTTCCAGCACGCTACCTTTTAAAGTTGGAATTTCGATAAAAAAAAGAAAGGTAGGCAGTTTAACTGGGCCTAGAAGAGCACACAAGTAAAATTTTGTAAAGATAGCACTTATCGTTTTAATTCTGTGGGTGTGTCCGAGGCGGGCACACTGATTGAATAGAGCTTCGAAAAGAGTGCTAAAACGAGCTTTGCTGGAAAGCGCGTAAAAGAGTAAGAGATTTTGCCTACGATTAAAAAACACTAGATTCTGAATACCATAGCAGATTAAGCTTTACCAAGGGTGTGCCACGGGAAGATCTGCTTCTCTACATCCTCCTAAAAAGCTGCTCATTTTGGGTTATATGATGATTACATGCTTATGAATGAAAAAAAAAAGTAACTTAGCTATATGATATTTACATTTCATATTTACACTTTAGTCTCTTTTTTTCATCGGGGTACTTTTCGAAGAAAGTGACACCACCTTTGGAAAAGCACAACCTAATATTGCATGTTTGCACATTTGCTGGGATCCGTATCAGATTCACAGTCTGAAAGCAATTCGTGTAGCACTTTCAGTGCTTTAGAAATGGTCAGCCCTCTCCGATCCGTTTGGAAAATAATTAAAAATCCGAAAAAAATAAACTAATATTATATCTACAATTTGAAATTGTAAACTATAAAATAAAAATATAAATGTCTACAACTCAAACTTATTAAACGTAGTGCTAAGAAAACTTCTCTAAATCAAAGCGAAAAAGAGAACTGCTCTAGTGAAAAACGAAACAGCTAACTGATAAAATTATCCCTGACCTTCAGAAAATCACCCCGACAATTTCAAATTCTTAGTTGATAACCAAACCTCCCCTCCCCCCCCCATAAAAAAAGGAAAAAGAAGAAAGAGAAAAACAAAATATGAAACACAGATGTGGACCCAGCTTTCTATGTTAATGAGCTGACCGATGAGCTGCAGAGAAACAAAAATACATCTGCCTCTCAGTGACCTAGACTTGCAGTGAGCCCAGTCTGGGAACACCTTGGTTCGCCGTTTGATTTTAGGCAAGATTTCAAGGTAAAAATTTAAAACTAATATAGAATAAGGAGATTAGCATACAGCCAAAAAATAACAAAACAATCCTTTTATACCCTAAAAAAATCTGGAAGATTTCTTTGAAAAATGAGGGTCTTAAAAACTAAACATGGCTAAAATATATGGACTGGTTTGTGTTGAGCTATAAGTAAAGAAAGTTCAGAGTAACCTATAGTAACCTATAAATCCTTTTTCATTCAATTTTTCTGTGCGTACAGAAGGAAATTTTTAGGTGTGCGCAGTCCGGGCATACCGTGCCGCAAAGGGTTATGCTCCACCAACTGCTTTTATTTACAAGACTTTTGTAATTTACTGAACTTTTATCCCTATCACTTGAGCCACTTATACGACATATCCTGAAATAAAACAGTACATTGTATTAAATTTGCCACTTAAGAATTCATATATGCTTTCCAGAATGGTTATAAACTTTGTTAATGTCAGACATTTGTCATATAATCGTTTCGCATTAGATATGCCTTTATCAAAATCTTTCCAAATTCTGGAGGGCTGTTAAGTTGCATTACGTTACCATGTAATTCACGATTCAAGCAGTCTAAGAAATCTCAGGCGAAGACACAGATCTTTAATTAACATTTTACGTGATGTGAAAGAGCCAACTTCCAGAATATTGCTGTTAGAAGTAACTTGATATATTTTTTTCTTTTAAATCAAGGAAGGGCAAACGTTTTCGGTCGCGGGCCGAAAATCCAAAACAAAAAGTTTGGCGGGCCAAGATAAATTTTTCTAAATTTTTAAAAACAATATACAAGTATTGCAATTTAATATGTTAATGAGATGAATGAATGAATGAAATTGCGATTTCATTTTTAGACGTTCCTTGTATTGAGTTCCGAAGTGAGATTTACTGATTCTAAGGAACGAAGCTAAATGCTCATCTGTCAGTCTACTTCTGAAATAATTCTTTCTAAGGTTCATAGCTGTAGACACTTGTTCACATATATAAGATAACATAGCACTGATTTTCTGGGCGTGAGATATTAAATTTCGGAAACTTACTTTTGATAATGATTTTTAAAACTCTAACGTATTTAGAAAACTGCTTGAGATAATTGTTGGATTGCAACTCTATTAATTCAAGCTGCAAATCTGACCTCGCTGCTTCACAATTTACGTTGAAAGGCATGGTTAAATTATCCAGTTCTGTTTGAATGGCACTGAAATCTTGAAATCTTCGTTCGAACTCAAAATGCAGTCTTTTTCAAGCCATCTTCATAATTCTTAAGACTCTCTTCATTTACTGAGGGTATTGAATTTAACCTCGGGAAATGAGACAAGTCGTTCTTAGCTAGCTGGCCAGCAAACAGATTAATTTTTCTTATTAAGTTTGAAGTTAAGATAATTAAGTTAAGGTTAAGTTTTTTCTAAGAGGTCTAATTCACCTATATTGGATTCCCATATGTCTGCTTCCCGAGGAAGAGATAACGCTTGTTGGCACCAATCTACAGCTATAACTAACAAAGAACGTCCACTTTTAACACTTTACCTATTGGAAGCTGTCTGTGCTTGCTATTTCCGTCAATTTATGCTTTTAGAACAAAAATAGAGAAATTAAAAAGACCATCAGCCCTTTGAAAAAAAGGAAGAAAAGAAAAAATAATATTTAAACAAAGTAGAAAAGGAGGTGGTATATAATATACATACTTCTTTAATTTGCCTCAGAACGGCAAATTAAAATTATATCCACGGGCCGGATAGAACCTTCCGGCGGGCCGGAATTGGCACACGGGCCGTAGTTTGCTTATCCCTGTCTTAAATTATTATAAAATTATTTAACAAGTCATCGATTTAAAAGCAATAAACGCACTTCTTTATATTTTAACATTTTCTTTCATACTTTAAAAGTTTATTCTATTTCTAATATTATAGCTAATTGAAATAATTTAATATTTAAGCTCATGCAATGCTATCTTTTATGAAGACTTGCTGTAATTAAACAAAAAATTTTAATGTCATATACAGTAGAATCCCTCTTCAGCGGCAGCAAAGGCACCTCACCGGCTCCGGATAAGAGGTTTTCCGGATAACTGAATATATATTCCTAGAACTTAACCTGTTCATATCTCGTGATGCCGTTTATAATAAACTGAAACATGCAAAGTCGTGTTTTTCGAGTTATTGGCCATTATTAAATAAATAATACAGAAATCGTAAAGATTATTTAAAATTTAAATACGTACCCATAATTTTTATATTTCAGAAAAAAGAATAAATAAACATTTTAAATTACCATACATATTATTATAGGAAAATAAGTGAATTTCTTAGTGTGACAGTATATAACAGCTGTCCGCTTTGAAGATCGTAAGCGTAGTTTTGAAAATGTATACAATGCAGCTTCGTAACATTATGTGCGGAGAGAAATAAACATTTCTCGGCAAACTTTATGAGTCTCATAAAGTCGGCAATTCTTTAACGGCTTCCTTCGACGTAACTTTCTTGCTCTGAGTATTGTCTTCATCCGCCTTCTCATCATCATCAACTTTCTCATTTCCCAGTACGTGTCTGATTATTTCTTTGTTTTCATCTCGACAGAGTGGAAGAGAATTGTTTGCATGCATCCAAGCCTTCCTGTCCTCTTCACTAACACTAATCTTTTTCGAATATGTAACTAAATACACGATGTCTGACTTAGGCGCCAGTCTTCTTTTAAAATCAAGAAAAAGTTCTTCACTCGACTTCTCATTTACGAATATAATCATAGGACATAATCTACACCAACCGTAACGTAAAATAATGTTCTTTGGATTTTCACAGGGAAAATCCGAAGTACATATAACATCTTCCAATTTCGAATTGTTTTTGAAAGTTGTGTACACGTCTTTAATGTTCATACATGGACCCATGAAAAAAGATCGGTAGTTCATCTTTATAGTCTGGATAATGCATTGTTTTGATAAGATTTGTGATTTCAGGTGGCAGAAACATAACAGTCGTGTTTATACCGCATTTAAATCTTCAAACTGTATACCCTATTTCGTATATCTCTAAATAGAAATTTCTAATTTCTATTTAGAACTACAAAAATGCCGGATAACTGGGTGCCAGTTATGAGGGATTTTACAGTATTGCGAATCAAAGTTTAGTTTGGTTCAAAGTTTAGTTAGTAAAGTAGAATAGTTTGAATCGTCGGCCTTATAAAGTGATCTACGGAAATGCACGATTGCTTATGAAGTTTCGTTAATATCTGACTCTTGTAGCAGATGGAACTGGTAATTATTTTCAACTAAAATGAATGAATATTTAATTGTCAATATCTTATAGTAAAATTTAGACTTTGATAATTATTTATGTATAACTGTTCTCTTTAAGCGATGAAAAGAAATAAGATGATAAAGATATATTTTACTACATGTCACGAAACCATACAGAGGGCACTAACCACTAAAAAAAAAAAAACTTTTATTCTTCATTCGGTAGAAAAACTGAACTGTGTTTTGAGTTAGATAATATGAACGAAAGGCCTTAGAATTATAGAATTTATAAATTTATAGCCAGAACCGTAGCTAAAGGGGGTTAAGAGGGACACCTGTCTCTGGGCGCAGTATCCAGGAGGAGCTAAACTGATTTTACTAAATTTTAGAATTAACTATTTTCCATTCTTAGGAAACAGGAGGAGGCTCGAAATCTTCAGCTGTCCCTGGGGGCTAAAACCCCTAGCTACGACTCCGTCTATAGTCAGTTCAACAATTCAGAATTCGTATATGTGTTTCAGTTATCATTGCTTGGTAATAAAATATCTTTTATTACCAAGCAATGATAACTGAAATCTTTCTCATTCTGACCACATTTATATATCTTTCATTTTAGTCCCATCGACTCCACTGAATCCAAAAGCAAAAGACTGTACTAATACTAGTGTTCTGATCCAATGGGAGGAGCCTAAGCCTTTTAAAGGACCAATCCTTAGTTATACAGTAAAGTGGACAAACTTGACTGGCAAATCATTAGATCACCGAGTTCAAGAAGGCACAGAATTTAATATCACAGATTTACAGCCATTTCATAATTACACCATCCAGGTCCGCGCAACAACAGACGCAGGTGATGGTGAATGGTCTCAGGAACTGAACGTTCGGACTAAAATTGGAGGTATGATTTATGAATCTTATATGCATACAATCTACTTCTTATAATTTCTACAATTTAAACTGAAGTGATTGGATATGATTAAATTTTATTCCCAATTATTTTGTCTTAAGCGCTAAAAAATAAAAATATTTTAACTTACAAAATTATAATAACTTTTATTTATGATAATTTTATGAGCTAGTAACCTAACCATTGGACAAGCCAATCATTTCAATAACAACGTGTAAAATTCTTAATGCGTATAATGTTTATAAAAACGTGTTCGCATTTTAAAAAAATCTGATGTGTACACCACATGACTTCCTTGTACGGAATATTAAATTATACGCATTTTTTCTTGCATTTCATTTAAACTTATTGGATTGAATTAAATTTACTTTGTCGATAGCGCATAAACCACAATAGAATAAATGCACTCTTTAAAATTCACGCTATTTATTTACCATAGCGACCCTCTGGCGGTAGGTTCACTTAAAAGGGTTATATTTTGTTCATGTTATAACTCAAAATGCACAAAATTTATTTCATTTGAAAAATTCTCTAATCGTTGCCACATGTTCTATTCAAATACTATTACAAACCTAAAACGATGTATAAAAGAAATTAAGCAAACAAAACAAAAAAGAAACAGTTTTTCACAGACGATTCAGTATTTCTCATTCAATTAATTCAGTTCTCACTTCGCGACAAGGTAAAAATACATAAAAACTCAAAATATCTATATTAAATTTACTAAGTAAATCTTAAACACTTATTTCCTCGAAAAAATTCCAGAAAGGATTGAGCATGATTTAATTCGAAATAATAAATGAAGGTGTTATCTTTGTTGTTGCGAAGCTTGGTTTCTCTAGATTGGCAACAAATCTACTATTCTGCTGTTTCAAATGTAAATAAACATATCCGACATGGTATTTAAAGATTAGGCTTAACCGTACTTAAACAGCTTTTAAATTGCTGATATTTGTACAAATATTGCTTGCAGATTTACGAAAGGCAAAAAAAGGTTAACCGGCAGGTAAGAACAACATAATTCAATCATTCATTTTTAAAGCAAAAAATGTACAGTTTAGAAACATATAACAGTAAAGAAACTGAGATCACTGAGCCGTGTAACAGAGTGGATATATATATTTATATACGTTTGGTGCAGCCGATTGCAACTAAAATACAAGATGCACATCTGCATGTTATATCAGTCCTATATACAAAATTTCAACGTTCTGAGGCTACTCGTTTTTGCGTTATGCGAGATACGTACAGACGCCACGAAAATTTATCTTCAGAATTCATTTTAAAGCAGTTTTATAATTTTTTTTTTTTTTTGAATTAAAAGAGTCTTTTAGTCTGTCCTTACGTTCAGATGTCACAAAAGAACATCTTTAAATTGCATTCGATATCGGTCAAAATGAATATTTTCGTTGAAATATGTTGCCTGAACTTTTCGCGATTACAATACTTCCTTTTTACTTCGTACAATGAAGTAAAAATGAGAAAAGAAATAATTTGCAAATGAGCATTAGAATGAGTAGAACGCATTAAAAATTTACACAATTTAAAAATTCCTAGAAAAGATTATTTTATAGCAAAACACCAAATAACTTTATGTGTTAAGGGACACTTGCAAAATTTCAAATTTCTAGATTTTGCAACTTCGAGATTTTTTATTTCAAACCACCCATTATTTGAGTATAGCGCAGAATTTTTAGTCATCGTTTCTTTGTTTCATCCAATTTCAGCTGCATATTTTTAGATGTTGTAGGCTTTAAAAGTTTTCAAAAGGAAAAAGAGCATTTTAAATGCATATTGCATACTTCTTAGCAACATTTATATCTACACTAAATATTCCACCATTTCTTCATATTTAAATTGAATTAAAATAACCTATAGAGCTTTTAGATACAAAGAATTTCCCACATTTCTAAACATTGTTGTTATGAAATTCAAGCAACAGATGAATGGAGGATGAGAAAAGCGCAAAACCCTTATTTACAGCGCATAGCTCCAACATGAACAGTCAAATTTTTTAGTAATACCCTTCCTAATTTCAGTACGATACCTCATGAACATTGGAAGTTTCGTATTATTTTTTCCAACCCATATCTTACCAAAAGACTTTCTTATTCTGCATGAACATAACAACCTAGACCTATTCAAAACTGGGCTTATCGGCTTGGAGGCTATCTCTGCTGGCTACCATGTCAACTAGTGCCAGTTTCAGATGAGATCGGTACAAATGTAAAACTTTAATACTGTTTTCATTTTTACTTCCTCTTCCGAAGGAAGTATTGTAAATGCAAAAAATTGCAGGTAGCATATTTCAACAAAAATATCCATTAACCTCTCTCAAAACCATTTGAACGATGTTTTTGCGTAACATCTGTGCGTACGGACCGAACAAACGACTGTGCTTGCCAAAAAGCATTGTAAATTGTATTTAAAATGTATTCAGAAGAGACTTTACATACATACACACGTATAGACTTGATGTCTATACGTATGTATGTATGAATTCTAACTCAGTAATGAGGAGCCACAGAACCTTGAAATTTTGTGTATGGGACTGCTATAACATGCACTTGTGCACCTCCCTTTTTCGTTGTGATCGGCTGCACCAATCGTTTTTTGCCGAGTGGGATCAAAGGTAAACTTTTAAAAAATCTGCTTTCTTGCCCGCTGGTAAATTTCTTGTTTTTGCTTAGAAACTTTAATTTTGATTGGAAGAAAAAAAAAAAAAAAAAAAAAACTTTTCTTAACTGTATTTGGTGTTTTAAGTTCCTCTGTATTTTACAATTTTTAATGAAGATGTTTTGAGATTTTATGTAATTTTGCTTTGCCGCGAATTGAGAACTGTATTAGTTGAATGAGAAATGAATGTGCTAATGAAATTAAAGGAAATGATTTTAAATGAAATGCAGAAAAAATTCTGTATATTGTAATAGCCCATGCAAGGAAGTGATATTTTTTCCACGTGATACTTTTTTAACTCATTTGGATGCATTGGAAATTTTCGTTCAGAAGACGGCTTTGTGTTCACAATAGGTATAATCCAAGCTTTATTGCTAGAGAACCAGTCCTTATTACGTCATAGAAACTGGTTTACGGACTTTGTCTAAATGTTCCAAATGTTCAACCTTATGCCAATCTGGTATAAGATCCTTCCAATAATAACGAAGCCAACACGAGCTGACATTCCATCGACGATTTTGCTGAGTTTGCTGCACATTTACACATGGGCAGGTTTACTTTCCCTGACTAGTTACAGCTTGAACCCTGTTCTACAGGTGTGAGCAAATGTTGTGACTTTTATGCCTTAAAACGTTTATGCTTATGGCAGTAATGATGACTAGATCATCGACAGAATAAAGCCTAAGAGTCTCCATCCTTGCAATCATAACTTTCATCCTTCTAAAGTGGTTTTTGACTTACCGAGACTATGTTAGGAGAAAATAAAACGTACATCCATATACCCTTTACATAGGCTGCGTATTTATTAAAGAATCATTGCGTTGCTGTTAGTTTAGGTGCCTTTTGGCTGAGGAAAAATTCCCTTTATATATTAATGATAGTTATGTTTTTCCTTTAACATCAATCTGACTTTCGCAGAGTTTCATAGATACACTTTACATTTACATATCGGATGAAATATCGAAAAGAAGTGATATTTATAGAATATTATAACATTAACCAAGGTTTTTCTTTCGATTTATTGTGTTCGTGCTGTTTATGGCAATTCTAAATTTAATATTCTAGTTTTAATTTTTCAACTTTTTCAAATGGTATGAATAATGATTTGAAAATTTTTTTACCGTTTAACGAGAAGTTTTCCCTCAGAAATTTGTATGAGCAAAATAGGTGAAAAACTATTCAATCAACCGAAAGCTTTAAAACAGAAAACACATTTTGTTCAGAAAGAAGTTCTGTACCTCAAATATAGCATTGCAAAAATGCGTAACTGTCTTATCCGTTTACTCACGAAATTCGCAAGGATACACACAGTTAAATCCTTTTAGGATTTAACTATGAGACCAGTTATACAGAGGTTGTTCGCACATTTTTTAGACGAATTTGGTAAGCGGTAATAAAAAATCGTTTGCTGCAAAAGAAGTAATTGCAATTGTACTATGTTTTTAAAAGTCAAAATTATCGCCTGTGGCTTGAAAGTTTTGTTTTTATTCAAAATGGCGAATTTAACAAAGCAGTGGTTCGAAGGCTACATTTACGCTCTTTCCGAAGAGAAATATGCATACTCCGTTATCCAAAAACGATGTGAGAGTCATGGTTTTGTGATATCTAAAGCGTCGATAGGTAATATCATCAACAAGAATGGAAAAAAAAGTCAAATTGGAGCCTCAAGTGGGACAAAAATTCCAAACAAGTGTCCAAGGATAAAAACGGACATCTTCGACTATTGCAAAGGTACGTTGTTTAATGTTAAAAGAAAATCCCCCTAGTCAAAGGATAGTTGCAAAATCATTAAAATGCTCGGTGTCCACTGTAAACAAAATGATAAACGTTGATTTAGATCTTAAGAAAGCGAAAAACGCAATGTGCATCGTCTTCTTCCAAAGCATATCGCTCGACGCAGGACACGCTGCAGAATTCTGTATGAGAAACACTCATCCAAAGAAAAATGGAAAACAATTGTCACAATAGATGAAGCATGGGTGTATTCAAATGATTGTATCAAAAAAAAAAGAGCCATTTATTATCATAAAAAGGGAGGAAAAAATTTAAGTACATGTTTCAAAGAATCGAAAGAAAGTTTTTCTAAGGGATTTATGATTGTTGCTGGTTTTTCTTATAATGAAAAGTTAAAAATAAAAAGAGTGCAAAAAAAAAAAAAAAAAAAAAAAAAAAAAAAAAAAAAAATTCATGATTAACTCCAAATACTATCAGGAACATATTTTATCGCCAATTTTTCTGAATGAAATACCATCGCTTTACCCACAGTGTCATCCATCTGTGAGACTCCATCAGGACAAAGCTAGTAGTCACACATCAAAATCCACTGTAAATTTCCTAAAAGAAATGGAACAAAAACTGGTATCAAGGCCATACTCTTCACTGATATCCCTACTAAATCTCCCGATGTGTCACCTGTGGATGTTTGTGCTTTCGGACTTTTAAAAACTGCATTATCGAAACGTTGTCCCAAAACCCTAACGTGACTCTGGAAAGCTGTTCGGGAGGAATGGGATAGAATATCTCTTTTGCCACTTCAAAAGGCATTATTATCCTGGAAATTGTGGTGTCGAAAGATAGTGCAGAATAAGGGATATCAAATAGAACATTTAAAACACAAGAATTTTATGTAATTTAGTTTTGTGAATACAATATACCTCGTCTAAAAAATGTGTGAACAGCCTCTGTAAATATAAAAATGATTGATGTCATCGAATATTAAAAACATTAGTCGCTAAAAGTGGTCGACTTTTAGCGACTAATTTGCATCTGTTTTCCTTCTTTCTCTCTCTTTTTGTTTTTAAGCAGGATTTTAAAGGAATCTCGAAACGGTATATTACATCGATTTACTAAAAGCGTTGAATCATTTTTTAGATTGTTGCCACCAAATATTATCTCTCTGTATTATATTTGAATATATTAAATAAGAAGGATATGCATGAATGTATGTATGTTTCTCGCAATGTGAAAAAACAACGGTACGCAGAGCCATCAAATTCTCAATAATGTAGTTCTCCAACCTGGAAGCCCAAATTCTGACTTTCGAATTTGTTTTATTATCTGTTTCACATTTTATAAAACTTTAATGAATTTTTTGATTAAAACACTCAGCGATTTCAAAACAAACAGTGGTAACACTGTACGGAATAAAACATTTTTATCGCCAGCGTGCAAGACAATCCATTCGAAATTCTAAAGACGTGCCGTTCCAAAACAATTTTAACCCAAAGGAAGCTCAAACACTCTCGAAACGTGTTTGTGTGCGTAAATGAATAAAACGTCCCTTTTGGCGTAATATAAAATCTGAAAATTTTCAGATTTTTTTTTGTTAGAATTTAAAAAAACAAATTTGGTAGGCAAAAATCTTGAATTTGAGTTGGTTATAAACGCACATGAGTCGGAATGCTCATTCTTGAAATTTTTCTCAAAATCTGAACATAAAGCTATAGGATCTAGTACGTTTCGCTATCAGGAAATGGTATCTAGATCTACTTAAGTGCAGTACCTTGAGAATTGTCGCACAGATGTAAAGACGAACACAACTAGGGAAAGGATGTAAAAGATCCTTTTATTTATGACAAACTTTTAATAGATGTCACGGCATTACGTGTTTACAAACAAAACACCGACCACTTGCAGTGAGAATTTAAACGATAATGTAGCACTGAGTTTAAAGGTAAAGAGTCAACCTACTCCGGCAGGATACTAACTGGATGGCAAGGATGCGTAGCCGTTAATAACATTAGCAGCTGGAAAACAATCTAGCAAACGTGTGCCTTCACTAGCGAAATCACGCTTTGTCTAATCTTTTCGTTCCGACAGTTTAAATACTCTCGTTCACTTACTTCATTTACATCCTGGCGAAAAAATGAGAGGAGAAATAACAGGACTCAGGAAAGGCTCACGAATGAAAATAACTATTAGTAAAAAATTGCAGAACCGTTCAAAGATATATAATGTTTCCGAATTAATTCATGAATGTACACTGAATATTTCACTAACTTACATTATTGTTTTATGAAGGTTATACACAAATTATATTTTGCATTAACAGAGAGCTCTCCAAGCGACATCGCTGAAACCATTCTCATAAAATTGTGTACCTTATTTTGGGGAAACTTTATGATTAGTAGTGCATGGCTAATATCAGAATGAAGAAAATGAAACCGGCGTTTACTTTTTCAAGAAACTTGTATAGGATAATTTAATTTATTTCCTCAGTTCCGAGATAATTACATGCAAATGTTGAAATTATAAATTTAGAAAAAAAATAACCACAGTTTATTTGAGATATTTAATTAAATTTTATTTATTTTTTCTTTTTTCCTCCTAGTTCCATTGAAACCTCTCAACGTTCGAGACAAGCACGTTAAAAACATCAGTATAGAAATTCAGTGGGACGAACCAACTCCTAATAGAGGACCTATAGACAACTATACTGTAATGTGGATGAAAGAGAACACTAAAGAATCAAAGACTAGAATAGCAGAGCCTCAATCAAATACTGGATTCATCATTGACGACTTACAGCCTTTCACAAATTACATTATTCGAGTACGTGCGACGACTGAAGCTGGAGACGGACCATGGTCTTCTGAACATCATACTCAGACTGGAATTGGAGGTAATAGAAATTTATTCTCTGTATTACTATTTTAAACCCGTTGTGAAATAAATACATGTGAAATGTAATTTAATTTGGTGATCATTACATTACCTTCTTATAAGTGGCTGTAAAATTTTATAAAATGAGAACAGAACACGATTATTAATTTTTGCACAATTTAATATTGGTATAAATATGATGCTGGAGTATGAAAATGTGGGTCTTGGTTACTTTTCAGCATAGCACTTTGACTAAGTCTCTGCTTTTCCACATAGGAACCGAGGTTCTGGAAATATTCCCTCTTCTCATGATTGAACTTTTCGTATAGCCTGTTTATAAATGTTCATTTAAGTAGAGCGCAATGAAGGGAAACCACTGGCGGTACATTTCTTAAGAGCCACCGCTAGCTCAATAAATAAAGGTGATTTAAATAATAAAATGTTAATTCACATGTCAAAGATCTTTTTGTACACAACATTTCTTGTGTCGATCTTTCCATCATTTTTAAGCTCGCCTTGCAGAGGACCATGCATTATTTTTAATTTTACGTCCGTTCTTTCACGAACTCTTTAACAGGCAGCATAAAGTTGACCGTTTCCAAATGCAGGCTCAGGTAAAAAAATGTCAACACGCTTAAGCGTTTGCCCTGAGACTTATGAATGGTCATAGCAGACGCAAGTTTTACAGGAAATTGTCTACGTCCCAACTGAAACGGCAACCCTGTGCCGTGGCAACTTCACTCCTTGGCTAGTACAGTTACGCAAGCAACCCATAAACTATCGGCGACAAACAGACACTTAACCCGCATGTAAGAAAGATATTTATTTATTTCATTTTATTTGTTTTTTCATCGTTGCCGGTTGCATATTTCCGAATTCTGTTATATATAGATGTTAAATTTATTTATTAAATGTTAAATGCACGTGCTCTTGTATTTTTAATTTTTCCGGCTTAGCTTTCTCATAATATTCGTCACGCGCTGCACTGCACAGGGATATAAAACAATTTACAGTTACGCAAGCAACCAATAAACTATCGGCGACAAACACTTAAGCCGCTTATATATATATAGATATGTAAAATTTCAAAACGCGCCAAAATGTTAATTCACATATATCTTAGGAAACTTTGAATAAAAAACTCTAATTGTTTGCAGATTTGCTTAGAAATACATTTACTTTAAGATGATGGTAAAAATTTTATAGATTATAATACAATCTGTTTTCGAAAAATTTATAAAAATTATTTAAAAATATAAATTTTAAAAGTAAATCATAAAAAATGAGCGAATTTTTTTATTTGGAATGAACATAAATTTCGAAATGTGAAAGGAAGAATCAAATAAGTTAAATAAAAAGTGAAAGAGTAATAAATATTTACCGAATTCAATTGACATTGAGGAGCTAGAACTTTGAGAGCTAATGTTATAAAATCTACTCTTGCGATTTTTGTAAAACTTTTCAGTTTGGCATAATTTGAGTCGTAGAATCGAAATATGGAAATAAATTGGCATGTCATTTCAGAAAAAGTCCAATTTTGTGTCAAAATACCTATATTAGAGCAACGCTGTATATAAATGTAATACATATCCTAAGTCGCGCTTTCGATACATGAAAAATGCAAGTTCAATTTCGTCAATAGGTCCAGTAGAACGGAGTATATAGAACTGTCCCTTTTTTGCGCAGTGTCCCTTACTGTCTTAGTTACATAAGCACAAATAGCACATCCATTTTAAGTAATTTTCCCTGAATTAATCAATTTTATTTCTGTGTTTAATAAAAATAAAAGAACTGTTTTACGGATGTGGAGTAATTGATTTTACCTAATAGGAGGTGATGTAGCTGAGTAAGAATAAAAAAAGCAAGCCGTTAAAGTGTGGATTACGTACAAAACGAATTTTCTAAAATGCTTTTTATCTTTGCAGCCTATCTTAACAATAGATCTTTTTTACTTCCTTGTACAAAGTAAAAAGGAAGTATTGTAATCGCGAAAAGTTTCAGGCAGCATATTTCAAGGAAAATATCCATTTTGAGCGCTATCGAATGCAATTTAACGATGTTTTTGCGTGATATCTGTACATAAGGACAGAATAAAAGACTCGTTTTCTCCAAAAAAATTATAAAACTGCTTAAAAATTCATTCTGAAGAGAATTTTTCGTGGCGTCTGTATTAACGTATGTACGTACGTACGCATCTCGCATAACTCAAAAACGAGTAGCCTCAGAACATTGAAATTTTGTATATAGGACTGCTATAACATGTAGATGTGCACCTCGTACTTTGGTCGCAATCGGCCGCACCAAACGTCTATAAATATGTTTATATATATATATACACTCCGTTACCCGGTCAGCGATCTCAGTTTCTTTACTCTTATATGTTTGTAAATTCTACATTTTTTGCTTGAATTTACATTTTTTGCTTGAAAATGTACATTTTTTGCTTGAAAAATGATTGAATTATGTTGTTTTTATCTTCCGGTTAATGTTTTATGCCTTTAGTAAGTCTGTATGTAATATTTTTAGAATTTAGTAAGTTGTTATAGTGCCGCTAAGCCTTTTTTTTTTATAGCGGCCATTGATTGTTTACAATTGAAACAGCAGACTAGTGGATTTGTTGCCAATCTAGAGAAACTTAGCTTCGCAACAACAAAGATAACACCTTCATTTATTATTGCCAATTAATCATGCTTAATACTTTCTGGAATTTTTTCGAGGAAATAAGTGTTTAAGATTTACTTCGTAATTTTTAGTAGAGATAGTTTGAGTTTTTATGTATTTTTGCCTTCTCCCGAAGTGAGAACTGAATTAATTGAATGAGAAATACTCAATCGTCTGTGAAAAACTGCTTCTTTTTTGTTTTGTTTGCTTAATTTCTTTTATACATCGTTCTAGCTTTATTATATTATTGGAATAGAACATGTGGCAACGATTAGATAATTCTATTCTTTAAATGATATAAATTTTGTGCATTATGAGTTATAATATGAACGAAATATAATACTGTTAAGTGAATCTAGCCCCAGAGTGTCGCTATGGTAAACAAATACTAGAGTGAATTTTAAAGAATGCATTTATTCTATTGTGGTTTATGCGCTGTCGGCGAAATAGATTTAATTCAATCCAATAAGTTTAAATGAAATTTAAGAAAAAATGCGTATAATTTAATATTCTGTACAAGGAAGTCATGTGGTGTAGACATCAGATTTTTTTAATGCACAAGGTAAATATTTTTTTTTGTGATAATATAAATAATAACAAGCAGCAACATTTAAAGAATCTTTTTTTTATGCTGTATACGTGCATAAGGGAATAAATGTATTATAACCCAACAGTAAAAGAAAATATTTAAAAAATGTTTCTTTTCTTTTTCACAGTTCCATGGCCACCTCAGAATGTCAGAAGCAAAGAAAAAACCAACTGTACTATCCATCTTGTTTGGGAAGAGCCTCAACCCACGACAGGCCCCATTCTTTCTTATACTTTAAAATGGACCAATGTAAATTCAACAATTTCTAATATAACAGATATGAATGGAAATATTACTTCTTACGTAATCAAAGAATTGGAACCTTTTACTGATTATAATATTCAAGCACTTGCAAGAACAGAAGCAGGTGAAGGAAAATGGTCTGAAAAAGTTGTTATTAGGACTGAAATTGGAAGTAAGTATACCCTTTTTACTACTTTGTACGAAGTAAAGGAAGTATTGTTATCGCGAAAAATTTCGGGTGTCATATTTCAACTGCTGTCGAATCAGTTTGAACGACGATTATGCGTGATATCTTTACATACATGCAGAATAAAGTACTTTGGATTGTAAAATATGATTTTAAATAGATTCAGAAGAGAATTTTTTCGTGAAGTTTGTACACACGTATGTACGTATGCATCTCGCATACCTCAAAATTAGCCTTAGAATGTTGAAATTTTGTATATGGTACTGTAATTACATGTATTTTTTAACATGTAACATGCAGTAACATGTACCTCCCTTTCTGGCTGTAATCGGCAGCACCAAAAGTATGCAAATATATAGTATATATATATATATATATACCCGCTCTGTTACCCAGCTCGATGAGTTCAGTTTTTTATTCTTATATGTTGCTAAATTGTAAATTTTTTGCTTTCAAAGTGATTTAATTATACTGTTATATTCCGGTTAAGGTTTTATGCCTTTAGTTAAAATCTGCATGCAATTGTTGTAGAATCATCAACAATTTAAAAGCTTATGCGCTACTAACCCTAACGAGGCCGCCATTTATTTACATTTGAAACTCTTATTAGATTAGTGTACTAAGTCAGTTTGTACCCCACCTTTAGAGTCTTTTCGCCGAGTTTCGCGCAGTATACATGCGTATAGAAAATAACCGCGTCGGTTTTCGCATGTGTGTATCATCGAATTATGAGGCTATAACGCGATGTGTTTGGGCAATTTGAAGTTAGATAGATGCTTAAAAAATTAATATACTGTATCTGAAAGACTTCCTGATCCAAATATTCAATAAATTTTATAAGCAGATTATTATACGGAGGTCTATCGAATATTGAAAATTTTGTAAACTTCAAAAATGATGAAATTATCAGAACTTTTTAAATTGAATCTTAAGTGCGTCTGTTTTGCAAAAGTGATGTAGTACGGATACTTCGGAACATATAATTGATGAAACATATGACAAAATTTACAATTATAATGCTAATTTTATGCGAGAATGAAATCAGTTTAGAATGTGTAATACTTTTTTTTTTTAATGTTTACAGTTCCCACTATGCCTCGAGATGTCAAACTTTCTGTCGTGACAAATACTACCATCGAGTTAGAATGGAATATTCCTAGCCCTTCCAATGGACCGATAGAACTTTACATCGTGCAATCGACCAATCTGAAGTCAAACAACAGTGCAGAAATTACTACTAAAGATCTGTTTTACAAAATCGACAATTTAAGTCCTTACACGGAATATTCTATTCAGATTTGCGCAAGGACAGCAGCTGGAGAAGGACCGTGGTCTGAGCAGCTTATCACACAAACAAAAATTGGAAGTAAGCTTTCATTTAGCATTTCGAAAGTACATTAATTTTTTATTAAAATTTATTCATTATTATTTGAGTTTCTTTTATTAAATTTTACATGTTATTTTAGTCTGAAAAATTTATTGAATGTGCAAGATAAAAAATTATTTGAGTTCAAATTATTGTTTGAGTTTTGGTGTAAGGAGTTTTCACAAACATGGATGTGGTGCTCTCGTGATATAAGTGGTATCATGGAACTTACAAGTGGAAGATCCAAGGTTCAAATCTTGCGAAAGAATCGTTGATGTATACGGTATTTCTTCCGCCTTCTTAGCATGCCTTATGGAGCGGTGGTCTGCATGCTGGGCGCGTATTCCAGAGGTCCGTGGTTCAATTTCCGGCGAAGGCGTTGCTCATTTTTTATTACTCATTCTCTAAAATAACCTAATGTCTCTACAGTGGCGCCCGAACTAAAAAAGTGGTGGATGATGATTTTTCACACCCAAGATTTGGCGATTGGGTCCCCTAAAAACCCCAGTCGCCCTTTAAAAGGAGACGTATATAAGATCCCGCCTTCTTAGCATGCTTTCGTGATGAAGTGGTCTGCATGCTGGGCGCGTATTTCAGAAGTCCGTGTTTCGATTCCCCGAGAAGGCGTTGCTCATTTTTCATCACTGCTGCTCTGAAATAACCTAGCGTCTCTACGCTTTCCTACAGCGACATGCCTAATAATCTCTGCACATGTCTATAGTACGTTTAGCAAACATAGTGCAACATGCATAAAAGAAGATGGAAATTAGCTAAAATGAAGAGTTTAAGGTCAGACAAAAATGAGTTATTTATGAATAACTGATTATTTTATTACGTAAGTTGTACTAAAGTGAAATTTTATTAACTATCCTGCTCTGGATGCCGTATGAAGTTTTAAACGTAGGCGTTGGTGACAAACGGTGTTTTCTAAACTTATAATTCTTACATGTTTTTTTAAAATTTAGATTATTTTATTATTAAAATTTAGATTATGATATTGATATATATTTATTAATTCTGATTAATATATATTTACAGTGGATGGACAAAAATATGGAAACACCTTGTGAAATGCATGTTTGAAAAGAAAGATTGATTTTAATGAAATATGTAGGTGGCGCTGGCGTTTTTGACTACTGACGCCACCTATACAACTTCGTAAATGTGCTAAACAGTTCAGTTGTTGTCGGAGTACTGTTATGTGAGGTTGTCATTGCATTATGTCAGAGTTAACAGACTTCGAACGTGAGCAAATTGTTGGAGCACGTATGGTAGATGCTTCCTTAAGCAAGGTAGCCGAGGTGTTTAGTGTTTCAAGAGGTACTGTATCGAAGATTATTCCGCATATTTGAAAAGCGGAAAAACATCATCTGCTAAATCACAGCGCGGAAGAAAGTGTGTCCTGAGTGATCGTGACAGACGATCATTAAAGGCAATTGCGACGAAAAATAAGAAGACCACAGCTGCAAAAGTTACTGCTGAAATGAATGTTGTGTTACCGAACCCTGTGAGTACCAAAACAATTAGAAGGGAGCTTCATAAACAGGGGAAATTGCTGGCCGCTGCAATTGAGAAGCCACTCATCAGTGATGCTAATGCCCTAATAAGCCCGTAACAGGAAAAGGTGATGTTTAAGTCATAAAGCCTGGACTATAGAGCAGTGGAAGCGAGTAATATGGTCTGACGAGTCTTCTTTCACATTGTTTCCCACTTCTGGCCGAGTTTACGTCTGGAGAACGCCATCTCGAGCCTATAATACAGACTGCTTGTTGCCAAGAGTGAAACATGGCGGGGGCTCTGTTATGGTTTGGGCAGCCATATCGTGGTTCTCTGCTAGTCCCTTGATAACTGTGTCAGGGCACATGACTGCCAAGACTTATGTGAACATTTTGGCCTATCAAGTTCATCCCATGGTACAAACTTTGTTCCCCAATGGTGATGGTGTCTTCCAAAACGACCAAGCCCCTGTTCACACAGCTCACATTGTCCAGGACTGGTTTTCTGAGAACGAGGATTAGTTGTCCCATCTCCCCTGGCCACCACAGTCACCAGACCTGAATATTATCGAACCTTTGTGGTCTACATTGGAACGGAAAGTGCGTTCTCGTTATCCACCGCCAACATCGTTATCTGAACTTGCCACCGTTTTGCAGGAAGAATGGTATAATATTCCCTTGGCAAACATACAGAAACTGTATTTATCCATTCCGAGAAGACTGCAAGCTGTTTTGGATACCAACGGGTTTCCTACACCACATTAAGCAAAGTAACATGTTTTTTGAAAGGTGTTTCCATATTTTTGTCCAACCCCTGTATTAATATATTCATTTATATTCTGATTAGATTAGTAACATTAATTTGTTAGAGATAGAGTAGTAGAAATTTTCTAAAATTTAATGATAAAAATTTGCCTTTACTCGGCTGTATGAAATTATTGCAGATAACACAATATTTATATATTTATTCATTAATGGTCTCCGCATTCATCGGTAATAAATTCCTAGTTCTACTTCAAAAAACACTCAACGCTATATCGAATGTTCCAAAAATATTCTACTTTCATAGCTTGAAAGGTTGGTCATAAATGCATGATTCTGGTTTTAAAGTAAATCAAAATCTCAGACTATGATTACTTTGACAACTACATGTGACAGATGTTAGGAAAATATACGTTTTTTTAGTGAGTCCCTTACGAAGAAATCCATTATCAACTTTTTAAAATGTTTTAGAAACATACTGTATTCACAGTATGCAAAACTGGAGAACAAACACATCCAGAATTATATTACCTTATAACATTTTTCACGGGGGAAAAGAGAGAGAGAGAGAAAGAAAGGAAGGAAGAGAACTTCAAGAACCTCGAAGAATTAGGTTACTCCTAATAGTTGGAATCCTCAGTTTCGAACTAACATGAAATTTTGAACACTTCACAACAGAAAGTGTTCGAAATTTCATGTTAGTTCGAAATTAAACATTCGAATTTTGCGTAGAATTTAAGAAGCAGCATATAGTAGACGATTATAAACACCAACGAGTTTGGTATCTTTATCGTAGCATTCAACTTCCTTAAATATTTCTTAATTATTTTAAGTATTTATATTGTATTTCCGTGTACGATCTAAAATACGTACAATATGCGAAAATATTCTGCATATGGTAGAATGAAATTTTTCTATTGTAATATGGGAGACACAGAATATTTCCATCGAATCAAATGCAGGAAATAAATAGTTCAACCAAAATAAATAAATAACTTTACTCGTAAATAAATAAAATTTGAAATTGCTGCTGTTGTCATAGGAAAATTCTGTAAAAATTAAAATTTCATATTTAATATATTCATGCCATTATTCTTACTTTTTTAGCATTTATCACCGTAAATGTAGTTCATTTTTCTCAAGTAGAACCAAAATTTAATACTACCGTTTAAAATGTTTTAAATGTCCGGAAACAGAAAATAAATTTGCCTCTGTCTCAAAGCAAAGTAAGTGCATACCTAGAACTTTTAAAGGAAAGAAGGTAATGAAAAATAAATTATTCAAATGAGGAGAAAAATGACAAAAATAATATATCTTTCTCCTCAAGCCCAATAAATAAAATTTATTATTAAAATACATTTTACACGATTTTTTACATGATTGTCTTGACACAATGGCATTTATTAACCTTATGCACAAGAAAAATTTTAATTAAAATTTTTACTGTTAATTTAAGATTATAATAAATCTATAAATTTAGTTTGTATTTCAAATAGATAATTATATTTAAATCGTTATAGGAATTATGGAACTGTAGTAATTTTTAAATGGCTGGTGCTAAATTTTATTAATTAAATCAACGACACATGGAGCTTACTTTTGAGATTTTCATTTTACAGAAAATCCTGCTCAGAGTCAAAACGGAAATTACTGTCATTCCTCATAGCAGGAAAACTTATATTTATCTCTCATTTAGCAAAAATGTAATTCTTCATAGTAAAAGAGAATTGTTTAAAAATAATTTGTATTTCATTATTTTATAGTTAGTGCTGTTAATGCTATTACTGTTTTAAAAACACGATATAAAAGATATTTCTGATGCAATTATTACTCATATGTTTTCAGAGCTTTTATTTATTTTTTTGTAATTTATTTCAACAATTTAATTATCGTTGTCGCCTAGCTTTCATGTTAGTTCGAAATTAAACATTCGAATTTTGCGTAGAATTTAGAAGCCGCATATAGTAGACGATTATAAACACCAACGACTTTATAGCAGGCATGAATAGTTGGAATCCTCAGTTTGAAATAATTCTCAAATATTTATTTAGATGTTTCTAAGCATACTGTTTATTCTTCCAACAGCGTCGCCCAGACGGAAAAGTGGTTAGTGACGCTGACTGCTGTACCAAAGGAGCCGGGCTCTCATCCCGGAGAAGGCATAGATGTAAATTATCTGTCCCTTCATAGTAGGCAACGGTACCTCCTGAATAAAGTGAGTGGCCAACAACGGCTAGTCCCCGCGAATGTAAAAAGAAAACGAATTCTTTCAACAGCAGCTAAGATCGACACAACGTAGAACTCTGTCAGTTACGTAGAGAAAGATGAAAAATTTTTTCATCTAAATATTTAGCTTCACAAGACGTTTAGTTTTATTGAGCAAATTCTGATAAGGAGCAAAATTATAAACACTTGAATTGCTAAAATGAATAAAAATGGTTATTTCTAATATTAGTGCCATCAAATCTTGCTATATTTACAGTGCCATGTTTTGCCTTGACCATTCAGCAATTGTGGCTCAAACAGCAAACGTTTATTGTTTAAGTTTTCGTTAATTTTTTAGTAAAACATTTTGAATATTTAAAATTTTATATATATATATAAAATTTTAAATATATAATATTTCATTTTATTTCCATCAACTGTTTGGCCAAATTAAAAAAACTGCATCATTGTATTATTGTGAACTAAGCTTTTACCAAATATTTTTCAAATAACAGACTGAAGTATACGATGAATAGACGACAAGCTTTTGCTTCTTTGTACGAAATAAAGTAGTGGTATCGCGAAATATTTGAGGTATTTTATTTCAGCAAAAATATCCATTTTGAAAGTTCTAGTCCATTTGAACGATGTTTTTGCTTGATATCTGTACAGAACAGAATAAAGGATTGTTTTTCCCAAAGCGGATTGGAAACTTGATTTAAAATAGATTCGGAAGAGATTTTTTTCGTGGTATCTAGCATAACTCAAATCGAGTAGCCTCAGAAAATTAAATTATCAGTAGTTTAAATTTTGTACATGGGACTGCTATAACATGTAGCTGTGCCCCTGCCTTTTATAATTTAGTTTAGTAGTAGCCTCTTTATTCCTCTTTTTAAATTTTGTTACTTCCTCTTTATTCTAAAAATATGGTAATAACTTTTCTGGACAACATCATTTCTAGATTAATCTATGTCTTATGGTTAGCGTAACACTAATGACGTAGCTAATTCGGAACCTAAACTCAAAATTTTGAGAACTAAAACTTTTCTAACCTAAACCGAAACCTTCTCTTATTAAGCTTCAATACTCGATAATTACGCACTTTCTGTTCTGCCTGTATTTATGTAAAATGAAGTTATTTGGCTGTACTCTTTTCCTATCGCAATAACATCAAAATGTATATGTTTTGAATAGGCAAAATTAGAATTCTAAGTAAATAGTGGCTACAAATGTCAATTGAAATAAAAAGGAATATTCAGTCCTACGTAGTTGCCAAGTTTCGTCCTCAGTATGGATCTATGTTCTACGCCATCGACATTGCTATGCCCTTTTCATCTTCTTTATTACATTTACTATATCTATAAAAATACTCATTCTGTTATCCTGCTTTAGGATCTCAGATTTTAATTTTTATATTTTGGTAAATCGTGCATTCTTTGCTTTAAAAGTGATTGAATTATGTTGTTCTTATGTTCCAGTTAAGGTTTTTATGCCTTTAGTTAATTTCCATGCAATAGTTTTAGAATTATCAGCAATTTAAAAGTTGTTTAAGAGTACTAAGCCTAACGAAGTCGCAATTCGTTTACATTTGAAATTCTTTACTAGAATAGTTAATTAAATCAGTCTCTGCATCAACTTCAGTGCCTTTTGACAGGTGAGACCGAAAGTAAACTTTCAGTTTTATGCACCGAAAAAGCTGTCTTCAAGCCCGATGGCCGAATTGCTTGTTTATGCGTAGAAACTCTAATTAAAGTTGTAAATTATTTTTTAAACTGTTTTAATAGTACTTTTCGTTTTATGTTTTTCTGTGTTTCACAATTTTTTATGAAGGTGTTTTGAGTTTTATTCATTTTTGCCTTTCCGCAAAGTGACAACTGAATTAATTGAGTCAGAAATAGATTTATAATGAAATTCGAGGAAATAAGTTCTAATGAAATGCAATAAAATACATGTATAATTTAAAAGGCCGTACAAGGAAATCATGTAGTGTGCACATCGGATTTTTTTATTCCTTTTTCTGCTCATTTTTGTTTATATTGAATTTATATTGCCTGAAATTAATCTCAAATCGTTTGTTTTCAGTTGCTAGTCCTCCACGAAATGTATCTGCCTTAGAAACAACTGCATTTGATATTAAGGTATCCTGGGACATACCTGAGTATCCTAACAGTCCTGTTAGCGATCTCAAATATTTGGTATCATGGAATGCAGCAGGCAAAGAAACTATCAGAAGTGAGGTAGAAAAACCGCCATTTCATGCTGTTAATTTAACTGCATATACTGAATACACCTTCTTTATCTTTGCGCAGACCGAAGTTGATTTGAGTCTTTCATCTGATCCTCTGACAGTCCGGACGGCTATTGCAGGTAATTTTCCACTTTTTAGACCGTGCTCTGCTGCGAATTGATTCGCGCGGTTTAAATCTAAAGAAAATATCGTAGTAGAGCCGCGTAAATTCATAGACAGATGATTATTAATTTGCTTCACTTTATGATCATATTTTATCTTTTACATCCTGATCAGTTTTGCAATTTCTAATTAATAATTAAATTAAATTAAATTTTTTTTTTTATTCACACACACCATACACGTTTCGAGAGCATATGGGCTAAAAATATTTAAAAACAGCATATCTTTAGAATTTGCCACGGACAGTCTCACGCGCTGGAGATAAAAATATTTTATTCCGTACTGAGTATTACCACTGCTCGCTTTGAAATCGTTGAGTTTCTTAATCAAAAATTTTATTTAATTTCTTTAAATTAAATACAGTGCCATAATATTTGATGGCAACAATTTAAAAAGTGATACAGACGTTTATAGTGATTGGATGTAAAAGGCCGTTTCGAGACTAACAGCCCCTCTGGCTAACGCCCCTTTGAACTAAATTTTATGAGTAAAGTATTCTAAATCTACAATCCTGAATTATATAAAACATGACCAACTTTCCATAACTTCTGAGTAAAAAATAGTGGGAAATAATGAAATGCGTTCATATAATAATTTCAAATATGCTTATATAATCTAGTAACACATATTTAATGGTATGAGTTTTTAGAGCATTTTTCATCTATTATATTTCCGTTTGAAAAGTCGATGCAGAATATACGCGTCTTCAAAAAGAGTAAAACTGTTAAAGCATATAAACAGTTATTAGTTTTACTGAGAATGAGTTATGCTTTAAAAATGTAAGTAATTCACTAATTAAATGATAAATTATTAAAGCCCATTACTAATAATTTTGTGAAATAGCATCAAATCTTAACTGCTATCTTCGAATACTTGTATAATTACATAGGTATACTATACAAATATTTATACAGTAGCAGTTGTTATGAAAAAGAAGTTGAAATTAACATATTATACGAATTAATCAGGACTTTAATTTAGGATGAATGCTGAAGAAACGGAAGTTTAAATAGACGAATTTTTATGATATTATAGTGCGCAAAATTAATAAACGTTAAATTTGGTGGAATCTAGATTAAAAGATCTTTTAGGGTATCGCGTGTTTATCTGCCGAAGAAAATATCGTAGTAGCAATTAATGCAATTAATATTTCAATGTACTACTTATATCTCTTAGAATAATTATTCAATGTATTTGAAAAGAAGTATACTTCGCCTCGGAACTGAACCCCGAATCTCTTTCTCTACGTTGCCAAACTGCTTTTAAACGTAGGTATGATTTCATATATTTTCCATTTAAAGAACTGAAACGCGAAGGTACAACATTATGGATGTTAATTTAATAAGCGATTAATTATTATTATTTTTATTAGAAGTCTTTTTGAGAGGACCTTTCAAATGTAACATACGTGGAATATGATTGTGCGTTAAAAGGCTTCACTTTAAAATACGAGACTTTCCTTTATCCAGTATCTTTACATATAGGGCTCAACAGTTCTGGAGGTCTGTTTCGCGATGGTATGATACAAAATTACTCAAAAGCTGTTAAATATATTAATCAATTATGTTTATACGACAAAAATTTTCACAGGCTTTTTTTCACGGGTTAGTATTCTTCACCAAGGTACATTGATAACGTCACGCCTCTCAGATTAACAATGACATTTGTTCTAATTGCAGAACCAAGCGTCCCACAAAATTTATCTGTGGTTACCGTGACAAGTACTACAATACTGATTGAATGGTCCATTCCTGAATATCCAAATGGACCTGAGCTCATCTATGATTTGCAATGGCGGAAAGAAGAAGATGACCATGTTAGGAATGGAAATATTAATACGAAGGACACTCATTACGAATTGAAGGAATTAGAACCGTACACCAGTTACTCAGTACAATTGAGAGCAAGAACATCAGTAGGATATGGGCCTTTTACAAAATCGCTGCTCATTTCCACGGCAATTGCAAGTAAAGAGTCTTCAATATTCTTCTCTCACTTTTTAAAGTAAAAGCTTGATTTTTCTACCTAAATAATCTAGACTGCTTACGTATAGTACTTAAAATGAATACATTACTGTACAGGGCAATAAATAAAGAATAAACTATGCAGAATATTTTTCTCTCTCTCTCTCTTTCTCCTCCCCACCTATATATATGTGTGTGTGTATATATACCCCATTTCTACAAATTTCCTTATCCGGACTTTATTTTTGTAACAATAAAGAGAATATCTAACATGACATTTTAGCGTCAGCTTCTTAAACCTTAAAAGAATTATCTAGATTTTTTATTTGAACTTTGGCTTATGCTTTAAAATACGCTATGCGCGTAGTTATGTTTTATATATAACGTACAAAAATGTTACTTTTAAATTGTATCTTGTAATTAATAGTCCATTTTACAAGAAAGTTCGAAATAACTAATAAAATAAACTTCGAATTTTTTTTTTCTTTTTCTTTGCTTTTTACTTCCTTGTACAATCTGCAGCTGATTTTCGCTTAATTTTGTACTTTTTTTTAATATTGTGTTAATTAACGATGTTCCTTGTCCATGTCTTGAGAATTTCTCAATAGTTCTTTAAACTATATCATTTGATTATTGTCGTTATATTGTGGCATCAAATAGTGCCATCTTTCTATATCCATTATTAACTCAGGATAATATCTGTATCGTGCGAAGAACTTTCGCAAATCGTAGAAAACCAAACACGATTGCTAACAATCCAGAGCCGAAAAATTTGGCAACATTCTCTACTCCGCCAGTCGACGAGTAGATGAGTTTAAATTTTCCTACAATTAATGTTTGTTGCTTACAGCCGTAACCAGAAGTATTCTTATTAGCTGAATGTATAAATTTAAATATATGATTTGTTAAATTACTTTTCAGCATAAAACGCAATAAAACTTTTCTCTGTTTAAATCGCTATTACTTTTAGGTCCTTTTGTTAAAGTTTTATAGGGATAGCTAATATTTTACTAAACCTATTCATTTATGTGGTTTTCTAGACTGATTAACCGCAGTACTATTCTTAGTTTTATTATGTAATTTTCATAGCCTTGTAGTCCCATTACTATTGCTGTTATTCCTAGTGTTATTATTATTCGTTATCCAGACAACAGTTCAAAAATTAATAATGGCGGATATCGAGAGATTATGTGACAATAATAAATAACTGCAATAGCGGATGTAAATCACAATTAAAAATCTAAAAGTATCTGCAGAAGCTCCATTCCCAAGGCATTAACCCCCTGAAGAGCACAGAAGCACCAGTGGTACCACACATCCAAACCTTACTAAAATATAGTGCCATGAGAAAGCAGTGGCAAAACGAGTTACACTGCTGGACAGTTACTAAGGACGGATTTAAAATTGCAGTGTAGCAAGCCGGGATGGAAGATAAGCAGGATAAAATATTCTTTTCGTGCTGTTCGGAAATTAGATTAAAGGACATTTATTCTTCAGGAAAATATAGAAGGTTTTTGAATTATCCAAAAGTAAACAATCATTCTTTTGATGCTCTTGCAGTCTTACTCTTTTTGGTAACATACACTAAGTCAAGACTCTGAATGCAGCTAAGCGACTTTTCGCTATATTCAGTAAGGAAAGGGAGAACATAAGATGGCGCTGGCGAGGAAACACTGGAGATGAGCAGGCGAGGAAAAAAAAATTTGCAGTTAGCCACCTTTTCTTACTGTATTCATCGCTTATTGTAATTTTCCGCATTTACCTTCCTTGCATTTTGTGGTTGCTATGGGCGACAGTGTTTTTCATCCTTAGAAACTTGTAAGGATTATGTTAATTTATCTAACAGTTAAATTTTGAGTTAAAGTTACTTTCCTATCTCTTCTTAATTTCAAGCTTACAACTTCCGGCCAGAACGTATTTTTAAAATCTCGTTTGAATGCAAATGAGGAGAAGTATTTAACCGTGAAGTTCTACTGATTTCGTTAGGGAGCCAGTGATCCTGACTAGCACGCGTTCGCCGTCGTTTTCGGCTACTCTCTCTCTTAAGCTATTACTACGCTCGGCCGTACTTTAGGCCATTGCTAGCTTCGCCGTTAATTAGTGCTAAGGGGCCAACTCTGTTAGAATCTTAATAATTTCGGCTATATCTTTTTAGTTAAGAAGATTAGTTTAGTTCTTAGTTTCCTAAGTTCAAGTTTGAGTGGAGGTTTTATTGTAACTCCAAGAAAGGAGCCATCTGTTAAAATTTATTGGAATAATAAAGGGTAATTTTCCCCCTTCTTACGTTTTGTTCTCTGTCTCACGAACTCAAGCGATTATTCGCTCATCATTTCTAAGATTCCTCATTTTAGCTATAGATTAAAATACTTAGGAATCTTACAAACTGTCCAGCAGTGTAAATCTAGGTTTGTCGCATAGCATTTCCATATGCTAACGGATGAAATTGAAACCCACCAAATACCATACCGTTCAAATTTAAGCAAAGGAGATGCCTAATTTGAGATTTTCATTGGAATTTTTCTGAATTCTACAGTTTTATTTTAATCAGATATCGCATTTTTTTATTTCAACTGAGTAAAAAATTACTTACTTTATTTTGTTTTTATTTAGTTCCGGAACCAGCTGAGATAGAGGCTTTTACCAGAACTTCAAGAACTATTCTCGTGAAATGGAATAAAACGGGGCCGTATCCTGGACCAGTAAGCTATTTTCTCGATGTGTGCCAAATGCCGACTCAGTGCAGCTCGAAAAGCGAAACATTTACAGTAAGAACTCTCAAAGATAATGAAGATAGTGAAAGCTGGAAGTCACAAAGCGATAAACTTGTGGAAGATTTAATACCATATACTTCATATTTTTTCCGTATAAAGTTGGAAACTGAGGCAGGAAGTAAAACAAGTGAATCCAGCAATGTAATTAAGACACCAGCTGATGGTAAATGCGGCCTTTTTCTTATTTGTTATTTCAAAAATTTACTAAAAGAATACTGCTTAAGATTATTACATAAAACAAGTAGTTCAGAACTTTATCCTAGCGAAGATTAGATAATTATCCTGATTATTATTAAGAAACTGGGGGAGATGCATGAGAATAAAGTTGGTATAGGAGCGTTCACGCTATAGCATAAGCATTGAATATAATATAATTGTCATAAATGCATAATAGCGTTAGCACACGACAAAGATTCACGCCAAACCTGTTTACGCTGCAGGCAATCAGAGAAGGGTAATAAGTATTATACGTATGTGGTCTCGCCCAAATTTTCAATGAATTTCAAGATCCGCGATAGTAATTTATCGGTTATTCTGGTTTTCAGTTTTTTTCGGTGGTCAATCTTAGAGAAGAAATGTATTGTTTCAGTGGCAAAACATAAAATAATTCCAAATTTTTCAAAAATACTCTAAAAATTATCTGTTAAACGCAGAGCATCTTCTATAGCTAACGTGGATGCCAAATGTCAGAAATGATATTACTTTCTGCAATTGGAGAATTTTCCTCTCCCTTAAATATCTTACATTATATATGCTGATCTAGGCCTTGCTGACTAACATCAAAAGTCATACTGCCCCTTGTTACCCCTTGGGGTCATTTGATGTGCTTGTTGAGATCTGTATTTCGACAGCTGCCGTTCTGAGGGAAAATTACACACGAATCTTGTTCCTCTTTAACATCTGTCCGTAGGTTAGAGATGCGACCAGAATTTAACATTTTATCCTTTCTGTTATGACTTCTCTCATTTATTTGACAATAGTATCAGCAAAAATTCCATGAATTTTTATTGCGGCATAGGACTGCGTCTGTCTTTCACATGAGCTTTGAACACCATACATGGTGACAGTATTTGCCATCCAATTTCGAAGGCGAATCTGCCACTGTTAGAGCTCTAAGGAGTTTGCACTTGTCTTTCTCTACCACCAAACCTCTCGAGATCGTGAGGATTTCGGCTCGTCGTGTATTTTAAGTGCCTCCTCCCATGCTGCACTTAGAAACATCTCAACCTTCTCTTCTTTTCTCCTTCCATTCCATCCTTAGCGAAGAGAGAAGCCTCGCCTACTCGGGCGGAGGGTAATACTTGGCAAAACTTTAGATTGAGATTGTAGTCCTTAACATAGGATCCACACATTTCGGATAGAACTCATTTCCTGCCGAATTAAGGAGCTGAGGCTTAAGCGTTTTCTGCAGTTGCCTTTATTGAGAAGAATATATATACAATCATTATTATCATAATACCACTAGTGATAATTATGCCATAATCTGAACGCTTCCTCACATGCAGAAATAAATCATAATATTTATCAAACACTTCACTAAATTGTTATTTGAAATATAAATTCTCCTAAAAATCTCTTATTATGATGATATTGTGTCTTTACACTTTGATACACATTTTTGGAAGAGTTTGATTAATGCAGCGTATAAATAGATAACCTACTACCTACTTTCAACAGATAAATGAAGAATATACTACCTAACTCAACATAAAATCCTCCATTTTTATAACGTAAAGACGAACGTAGAATGTTTTCTAGAGAAGATTTTTCAGTAAATATATTTTGTACAAACTTAGCCATTTAATTGTGTCACACTACTTTTTATTCCATAACAAGAATGTTTTCCAAGAAAGATTTTTCAGTAAACATATTCTGTACAAATTTAGCCATTTAATTCTGTCACACTGCCTTTTATTCCATAACAAGACAGTAATTCTGAAAACGACAAAGAAATTGCTTCAAAGCATTTTACGATTTGATCATGAAGCGTTCAGACTAAGCCATTGTTAACATTATTATTATGCCATTATTATTATTAAACGTAACATTCAGATCATATGATAAACCCACACCCACAAACAATTTAATCACTACTTTTGAAGCTAAGAATAAGGATAAACAATCCATTTGTTCTGATATTGCATAGACTGCGAAATGCACACCATGTTCAAATAAATTGCAGAATTAAATCCATAATGTGCGACAGAGTAATAGATACAGGATTCCAGTTTAAAAAATTAGTTAAATAAGATAGGCTTTCTGAGCACAATAATTTTGCTTTCATGATCCATTTTATTAAATAATATGCAGAATTTAAATGTTTGTAACGATCTCAAAGGAAACATTTATCAATAAGAAAATTACCCATGCACAAATTGGCAAATAGACAAACAAAATAAAAAAATTGATATATCATTAATTAGAGTTTTGAAGACCGTACACGAATATTTTAAAGGCACTACAAATGTTAATGTTTTGAACGGAAACTTTTAAAAGATACCATATGTACATCAGAACAACATTACAACTGAAACACACATTACAAATTCCCATTAGCAGAAATTCTGAAAATCGAAATATATGAATTTTGTTTAACACGCATTTCTTTATCTAGCACACGCCAGGATTTAAGACAAATTCTGAAATCCTTTCCTTTTTTTTTAGAGAGAGAAATAGAATTAAATATATGCCTAAAGAGCAAAAATGTTTGAGCCCCAAAGAGAAGGGGATATTTGAGCTACAGTTTCTCATTATGATTTATCTGCATAATCATCCGTTATTACTTATTATGCAGGCTCCGCCGCGATTTATTTACAGTCATTTTATAGAATGATTTGTTCTGAGGCTTACCAATTAAGACTTCTAGTCCATGTTGCAGTAACCTCCTCGAAGTGAATTCTTCATAGCAGGTAACAGATGAATGTCTAATGAGGTCAATCGGGGAAATAAATTGGATTGAGAGATATGATGAAGTCATATTCGACCAAACCAGCTAAGCGGTTGCCGCACGGTGAGGAGAAGCATTGTCTAATGTAGGATGACTTCTCTCTCAATTCAGAAGGAAGTCAGTTTCAATAAACTTCTTACAATGCGTCACAAAACGCCGATCTAAAATTCTACAAAATTTTAACTACCTAGCATCACTTCTTTTCCTGTAAAATTTAAAAGCAAGAAATTAATAAAGATAAAGTGTATATTAATGCGCGAAAATAACTAGGCATGTTTATGTTTTCTTTTCAAAAGAATTATTTTGTTTATATATATATATGTGTGTGTAGAATTTGAGCTATATGGCAGTATACTATAAAATTGTATACGATAATTAATTTTTTTCTTATAATATTTACTTACAATTCGTTTACGAATTCTCTGTTTCTGACAAGGATTATATAAATTTTGCGGATGGAAAACATTTATGGTATTCCTCATCTACCCATAACAAAAAAACCTATCCATACATCTTAATGCCAGTTATATGACAATTCACTTAAAAAATGGGTGTATAAATCCGTAAATATCTTCTGTATATTTTTACATGCCTCTTAATATTTGAAAATACTTGTATCAATTCAAAATCAATAAGGGATACTTGAATGATTCTTTATCCTGAAGTGACATAAATTAAAATTTTATATTGCTGCTCTTTTAATGGTTATCTAGAATGCTCTCATAATTCGGAAACATGTTTTAGTCCCAGATGCTCCTCAAAACGTAAACGCCAAATGCGACCAACAGCCAACTGAAGCCGAAGTGAGTTGGTCACCTCCGAAATATCCCAATGGACTCATAGTCAAGTACAGAATAGAATATGGTCTGGAGGTGATATTTTGCTTTATTTTTTTAAAGTAATTTTATGAATAGTAAATTAGAATCAATGAAAATGTGGATATTTCTATTTTTCATTATTTTTTGTAAAAGACATTGATTAGTTTCTTTTAGAAAAATGCTATGCATTTTTTAAATTTTATTTGAATAAAAATCTTTCGCAAATTATACTGATCTTAATATACAGGTTTTCGGGAAACCTGTATATTACTGAGAAGTAATATACAGGTTTCCCGAAAATATGGCCACCGGTAAAGGTATAAAAACAATTAGCCCTTTATTATTTAATTAATTTTTATACTGCATATTCGAAATGACATCCATTTTCTGCTAAATATTTTCTAATCAATCGATTGAATCAAGACCTATGAACATTGAATAATTTGCTTTATGGCTTCAGATCTCTAGCCTCTACTTTCTCTAGTGTTCCATAAATTAGTAGGCAAGTGGATCATCCCATTCGAACACTGGTGTGGGTTCATGAATATGGTATGAATACATGAGACTTTCAAGATTTTTTACCTTTTATGAAGTACATCCGAGCTAGTTTTCTTTATAGATTATATAGAGCGAGAGATAGATAGATACACATATTATTTAAAATTCATAGAAGCCATTTTTCGTATGGCAAACAGATAGCCTCGCATACTTTATTAAAATTAGTTAATCGATTAAAGTATCTACATTGCTTTTAAGATGATTGACTTGAGGGAATAATCAAATAGCCATAGAATGTTGGCTAACGGTGTCACAAACGTAAACCTGGGCAGCCATTCACTTGAGCCCTCGTTTTCAACTCAAGTTCAGAACATATGTTCTTATCCATTTCTCTTTAAATAAGTCAGTGTTATAATGAAATGTGTTAGTCGAATTACGGGGTTATTCATTTGAACATAATCGACAAGTTTTAAAAACAAGTAGCAAGTGGCTTTCTTTTACGCTTATCGTAGGATGCTAGACTTTGTCATATGAACTCAATGAGTTGTACCGCAGTAAACTAACACTATTTATTACTATTATTTTAATTAATAGATGTTAATAAGTGTTTATTCTTATTCATTGTTCATTTATTTATAGATTATGTTAGAGAATAATTAGTCGAAATTTGATCATTTATGCTTATTTATAAAGAGACCATATTTTATTTGCAATTACGAATAAAATTCGTAATATGTAACACAATTCAAATAAAAAAATCTGTTCCCTAAACTCTCTCTTTAGCGGTATTAAAATGTTACCAATGCTTAAATCAAAACGTGGTCAAGCAAAAGCTAAGATTTGAGTATGCATGCGTAAGTTATCTTTCGTGTTTTCTGTAAATTCATTCAGCTCAAATGACCCTTTGGGTCACTTAAAATACTCGCGTTATTTAAAATCTGTCTTACTTAAAACAGAGCTATAAATGAATGTTTATTACCTTATAAAGGAGTAGTGAAATCACTAAAAGTTGTAACTGATTTCTAAGTTCCAAACACGTCACACATTTCTTTCCCTTGTAGAGTTCCTCATTCCTTTTGCTATTTGTCTAAGATGAACGTTGAGGAACGTAGGGAATTATGTAGCGACTTATCGTTGAGTTCTAATAACTATAACAGATATAGACTGAAAAAGGGTTAAACCAGTGCTTCCCAATCTTTTTTGTGCAATGTCCCACTTAATCCTTTCTAAAATTCTTATGCTCCCCTAGCATATACATAACCTTAATATTCAAAAATTGAAATGTTCACAAAAGGAACTCGAATGATAGGTTTTATAAAGAAATCACTAGGAAATTTTGTCAGCAAACACAGTAAGTAAATTTTCAAAACGTATGTAGAGACTTCACATATATTTTTTTAAAGCAGGAGAGACGAAAAATGAGCAACACCTTCTCCGGGAATCGAACCACGGACCTCTGGAATACGCGTCCAGCGTGCTGACCACTACACCACGAAGGCAGGCTAAGAAGGCGGGAGAAATACCTTAGACGTATAATGAAGAACTGAAATTCAAGTACAAAATGATTTTAATGAAATTTTTTCTATATTATTTTAAGTATTAGTAATTATTTATTATTTAAATTTAGTGAGATCTTTATGCTTGATGCTTCAGAGAGATTTGAAGTCAGGGTCTAGTTTAGTTAATTTCAGTAAATATATGCCTGACATAATTCAATGAAGGTAATGAAACCAAATATCTTCGCTTTTGCATTGACAACAGTTTTATTTGCTTCTTGAAGTTGTTTATTTAATACATTTAGTTTTTCAAAGATTTCAACCGTTAACAGATTTTTCATTTCAGGTTTGTCGCTTAAAAAATAACTAAGAGTATCAAATAGTTCCATAAATCTTTTCAAGCAGTTCCCTTTTCACAGCCATCTTATTTTAGTATGAAGTATAAGCCTCATGTGGTCGTCCTTCACAAAATAACTTGAAGAGACGTTCACATTTGGCACTTAATAGGCACAGTGCTTTCAAATATGATCTTAGCAAGAAAACACAAGAATATATTCTAATAATTTTCTAAAAAGTTTCCTCATAGGAGGTGACTAGACGTTCCGGCGCCTCCCCCGATCTCTTAGAACTTTTATATCACCTAAAACTCTGAAATCATACTTTTAGCTTAACTCAAATGTAATTATTACTTTGCTAAAATTTTAGATAACTGCAGCAAATTTCACTATTTAAACTCACAATATATACCAGCTTAACTTATAGAAGTCGCTATCGTATTTACTGGCATTATTATCTATTATTTACTGGCATATTCTCTCCTTCTCGCGTACTTTTTCCCTTAGCTTTTTAGCATAAGGTTTTGAAAATCTTTTAAGCATTATCGTAATTTTTCCCTTTCTCAAGGCGTTTATAAATCGAGCTCCCCTGAATTCGTTTACATAATAGTCAAGGATTTTAGGTGTATGGGCTCTGATTTAGCAAGCAGTAATAGCGAAGAGCTTCAAGAAAATGGCGGTATCTAGTTCCCTTGATAATTCTAAACATCATTGCGAGTCATAAAACGGAATGAAAGGGAACGAAGGTGTTAACAACAGTGACGATTGCAACGACTAACAAGCTATAGCAAACGTCACAAACAGCAGTTCCAGCAGCATCCAATGAATATAGACCTAGGAAGCAGAGGACATCAATAAAAGCGTACCAAATATAAGGCGTATAAAGTAAAAATGAAAATACCTTATTAGTCACTATAATATTAATATTTACTATGTTTTCTAATTCAAATTCAGGCTTCTTTTGAACGAATATTATAGAGGTAGTTACAGTTAGGTTATCTAAGAATATAAAGTATTTTTGGTATAACGGTAACACATTTGGCGCGTTTTCGAGATGTCCAAGTTCGAGTCTCGGAGAAGGCATTGCTCATTTTCCACGTCTTCTGCTTCAAAATAACCTAATGAAATAATAAGAATATTTCTTATGTGTCATATTCTTACCGTAGCCGCGTCTTTCAAAATAAAATAATTCGCATCATTTCCACCCCTCGATTTTTAGTGCGATGAAATTAATAAAAAAAGCTGGGAAATGCGCAAGGGAATATGGTAATTTCTATATACCTCCCTTAACTGCAGCGTATTATTAGTCCATAGGAGCTTTGTCCCTGAAGGACTATTGTTTTCGATTTGCGATTTTGCGTTGAATCACTATAAATGTCCGTTTCGCTTTTCAAACTGTTGCCACCCAATGTTAGAGTCCTGCATTATATTTGAAGAAATTAAATAATGAAAAATCTGCATAAATGTATGTCTGTTTCTCGCTTTGTAATAAAACAACGGTACACAGAGCCGTCGAATTTTGAATGACGTCATCCTCCTACGAATATGGGCATGTGGAAGACCCAATTTGAAATTTGGAATTTGTTTTATCATCGATTTCATATTTTGTAAAAATTTAACGAATTTTTGATTAACAAACTCAAGGATTTCAAAGCGAGCCATGGCAACAATCTACGGGAAAAAGAACACCTTTTTATCTCCAGCGCGCGGAACTGTCTATCGGAAATTCTAATGGTTTAAATGGTTTAAGTGCAAAGAACATGATATTTAATAAATAAAGGTAAAACACAAAACGTTAAAAAAACGCCCCTTTGGACGTAATTTAAAATCTGAAACCTTTCAGATTTTATTTGTTTTTGTTATTTTTTTACTCACACACCGATTAATTAAAAATTGTTTCTAATTCTAATGCTTAATTATTAATTTTGATCTAAAATATTTTATGTGAATCAAATAAATAAGAGATATTTAGCATGCTATTTTAGTAAAACTTCATTCTATGTAACGCAAACTACACAACAGCCACTGTAGCAATACACTGTAATGACATTCTAATTATCCACACGTTTGATATTCAGAGTTTCAGTTATTTGCAGCGTTCATTTTCCTTCGATGTAGAAATAAGATTATATTTAATTGTTCAAAGACATTTAGTTTTTTCGTTAATTTAAATAAAATTAAAAAGAACCTGAAAGCTTTCAGATTTTACATTTATGCTCAAACTTTCTTTCTTTCTTTTTTTTTTTTTTTTTAAACAGAAACATGCGCGTTTTGAGCCCATTTGAGCTAAAACCACATTGTTCTAAAAATACTTAAAAATAAAATATCTTTAGAATTTCGGATGGACAGTCTGGAGATAAAAACGTTTTATTCTCTACAGTCATTCCTAATTCGGGCTTTTTGGTGGAGGACTATGCTATTCAAAATTTAATGACTCTGCGTACCGTTGTATTTTTACAATTTGAGAAACATACACATATTCGTGCAGATTCTTCATTTTTTAGTTCCTTTAAACAACAATTGGTGGAAATAATTTGAAAAGTGATACAGCCGTTTATAGTGATTCAACGATAAATGCCGTATAATTCTTCTGGTCTAACGCACATTCGGACTAAGAATTTAATACGATGGCATAATGTTTCTGAGAAGAAATTTTCATATGAGAAACAAACTTGCATATGATATTCGACATTACTTGAAAAGCACATACAGAGACTACTGTTTTCTATTTGTTCTTGAAATACTAGTTTGCTATACGAAAGGAAAAATTCCTCGTTTTCTAAAAATGAATTAACCGATTCTGTTATCATTAATTTAATACTCTTGCTACTCAGAGAATTTTTGTCTATAATATATGATGTATTATGAAGTTAATTGTTTTTTCCTAATAATTTGAAGCGGACAACTAAAATAATTTTTTTGCTTAATTTATTGAAAGACTAAATTTGTATTTTGTTTTACAGAAACAAAAATATTTAATTTTGTAAAATTAAACGTAATAAATGAAAAAGTAAACCTCTCCTACTCACACTGCAATAAAATACGTATTTGATTTACGGAAAATGGCAACACCCATCATACAGATTTTCCGATTATTTTGACGGATTGAAGGTCCAATTATATCGGATATCTAGATGAGTTCTATTGTGTGTACTTTGACGGGCAAGATATTTATCTATCTATCCATAAAACCTTCTAAAACACAACCTGAAGCTAGTTTTCTTTTTAATCCGTTTAAAAAACAAATTTTATTTTTAAGCCAAACCAATAGTACGTCTTAGGGGGAAAAAGGAAAAAATATTGGTAATATTTCTTTGTATTATTGGTAATATTTCTTCATATTTTTCAAGTACCTCACAAATATGTGAAATATATCTTATAGACATATTTCTAGACAATTCTCCTCTCGGAATATTTTGGAGGTCGTTATATATACTTCATTCTATGTATCTTAGCAGTCATTCGTTTTAGGTGTCAAAAGTATAAGCATGTTGCCTGTTTAATGTAAAAAGTAAAATAGGTAGGACACTTATCACCGTAGAATTAAGTATCTATAAGTTAAAGCGGAAACTTCAAGTTGAAATTTAATTCTATATTTTTATAATATCATATCTTTTAATTAATATTTTAATTTATTTTTAGTTGATTTAATCTTATTTCTTTGGTAACAGCAAATGACCGATAGTAGAAAGTGCAAAATGACCGATAGTTGAAAAATCTAAGTTTTCGGTTTGTGGATTCTTTAAGTCGATGAATTTATTAAAATGTACTTTTTCTATTTGAAAATTATGGATTTTGTATAAAATGCAATTTATCACAGCAAACTTAATACAACTTTGTTTTGTATGACATATATAACATTAATATCTTACATGACATTTCTGATACTGATGCTTATTTTATAATTTTTTGCATTTTTCTTAGAATTCATATAAAATGAACGCATACCTAGCCGTAACTGATCCATGCAAAGATCAAAAGATTGTTCTTCAAAATCTGAGACCGGAGCGCAATTATAGAATAACCGTACGAGCCCGGGCACAAGATGTGGATTCTGACGGACAGCCGGCTACTTTCAAACCATGCATCCTACCAGCAGGAAGTAATGTTATGTGAATTTCTAATATGCATATAATAAACAGTGAGGATAGTAGATTAATATTTATTTATTATGAACTACTGAAATTTCTGGCAAGATTTTAAAGTGTTGAACTGGAACATTTGAAAATTTGCTACATAAATAAAAAGAACTTCAGTTAACTACAGCGGTGGTCAAAATTGTGGACACTTTTGGAAATTTTTATGTTTTTGAACTTTGTATGCTTATAGAAAACGTTACGTTTCACAAAACGCAAACTTGTATATATTATATTTTAAAGATAATTTATTACTGAATTCAATACAAAACACAAAATTCAATTATTTGCAATACAAAAAAGTTAAACGATAATAGTTATCGATATAATATTAGATAGTGATGATTGCAGTGAGTTATCAGTACTTAGTAGGGTACCCTTTATTTTTTATTACAGCTTCACATCGACGTTTCATTGAGCTGACAAGAGTTTTAAGCTCTTCTTTCGTTATTACATGATGCCAGGAAACAATTATAGCCTCAATTAGTTCCCTTTTATTTGATGGGCGCCTCATTCGGAGTGTTTTCAAACCGTGCCACAAATTTTCGATAGGATTGAGATCAGGACTGTTTCCTGGCCATGACAACAATTTAATGCTCTTTGTACGAAACCACTCTTTCGATATTTGGCCGTGTGGCAAGGAGCAGAATCCTGCTGAAAAATAAACGAAGCATTGTTGGGAAAGAGATCTCTGCTCTGATGGAAGGTAGAAGTTTTGGTTCTAGAATAGTGTCAATGTATTTTCTGGCATTCAGTGTCCCATCGATGACATGAAGGCGACCAATACCATCTGCTGACATGCACGACCAAATCATAACACTAACTGGGTTCTTCACAGTTGCTTGAATGCAGTCAGGATGTAGCTCTTCTCCTATTCTACGTCTTACATATTTTCGCCCATCACTACCGAATAACGATATCTTAGTTTCATCACTCCATATAACTTGTGACCACTGATCATCTGTCCAATTAGTGTGTTCCTTTGCCCACTGTAGTCTTTTTTTTTTTTTTTTTTTTTTTTCGTTGCTGAAAATTAAGATAAGGCTCTTTTCGTGGAATTTTACCTCTCAGTCCAACATCTGTTTATCTTCTCCTGATTGTTCTTGAACTGACAGAAACACCAGCATCATTCAGATCACTTCTGATGGCCGCTGATGACATTTTCCTGTCTTGGAAACATAGTCTTTTTATTCTTCTGTCATCAATAGATGTGGTGCACCTTTTTCGGCCTACTTGTAATTGCAGTTTATAAGAAACAGGTCCTCCTTCTAAGAACAAAGCAAAATAATGAATTGTTTCAAGTGTAAACATGATGTCAGCTTCTACTGGCAGTTACTAGCATTTGATTGGTTCTCAGAACAAGAACAGTGATTGGCCAGGAAAGCTAGACATTACATACCACTTCATAACTGTGTTTTTTATTTATATTAAAGTACATATAACTTTTTTTGTATTGCAAATAATTGAATTTTGTATTTTGTATTGAATTCAATAATAAATTCTCTTTAAAATGATATATACAAGTTTGAATTTTGCGAAAAGTAACATTTTCTATAAGTATACAAAGTTCAAAAACATAAAAATTTCCAAAAGTGTCCACAATTTTGGCCACCACTGTAGATCATATATTTCTTTTCAAAAAGCAAATAAAATTAAGCTTGTTAAATCTTCACCCTTTTTGCTTACTTGTACGAAGTAAATAAGCAGTATTGTAATCGCGAGAAATTTCAGGTACAATATTTCAACGAAAATATCCATTTTGGCCGCTATCGAATGCAGTTTAACGATGTTTTTGCATGACATCTGTACGGAAGGCCAGAATAAAGGACTCTTTACCCCCCAAAAAAATTATAAAACTGATTTATAATGAATTTTGAAGACACCTTTTCGTGGCGTCTGTGCGTACTTACATATGTACGTATCTCGCATAACTCAAAAATAAGTACCCTCAGAACGTTGAAATTTTGTATATAGGATTGGTATAATATGTAGATATGCACTTCGTATTTTGGTTGCAATCGGCCCCACGAAAGGTATATAAATATATATTTTATATATATATCCACTCTGTTACTCGGTTCCGTAAACTCTGTTTTAGTCTTATATGTTTGAAAATTGTATATTTTTTGCTTTAAAAATAGTTCAATTATATTGTTCTTATCTTCCGGTTAAAGTTTTCATGCCTGTAGTAAATCTGCATGCTGTTTTTAGAATAATCAGCAACTTAAAAGTTGTTTAAGTGCCGCTAAGCCTAATCATTTTTGCTACAGCGGCCATGTTTGTTTAGATTTGAAACAACAGAATAGTAGATTTGTTGGCAATCTAGAGAAAATAAGCTTCACAATAACAAAAATAACGCCTTCTTTTATTATTTCGAATTAAATCATGTTTAGTACATTCTTGAATTTATTCGAGGAAATATGTGTTTAAGATTTACTTCATAATTTTCAATACAAATATTTTGAGTTTTTATGTATTTTTGCCTTGTCGCGAAGTGAAAACTGAATTAACCGAATGAGAAATACTGAATCGTCTGTGAAAAACCTTTTTTTTTTTTTTTGTTGTTATTGTTTGCTTAATTTTTTTTTATACATCGTTCTAGCTTTAGTATAGTATTTGAATAGAAAATGTGGCAACAATTAGATAATTCTTAAGATGATGTACATTTTGCGCATTTTGAGTTAAAAAATGAAAGAAATATAACGCTATTAAGTGAACCTAGGGCCAGAGTGTCGCTGTGGTAAACAAAAATAGTGAATTTTAAAGAGCGCATTTATTCTATTATGGTTTATGCGCTATCGACGAAGTAAATTTAATTCAATCGAATAAGTTTAAATAAAATGTAAGAAAAAATGCATATAATTTAATATTCCGTACGAGGAAGTCATGTGCTGTACACATCAGATTTTTTAATTATAGTAATAATAGTAAGTAATAGTAATAATAATCTTATTTAGATGCAGTTTGTAAGTAACTATATTGAAGGGTGAAGCCTTCTTCTTACTATATTAAAGGGTCTAGCTTAAAAACTTGCAGGTAAAGTAGTCTTATAAGTTGTATTTAACTAGTCATAAGACTAACTTCTAGGTAACTTGTAGGGTCTAGCCTTTGCAAATCTAATTTAAAACACCACTAGATGAAAAAGTAAGTGATCACTGCGTCTTTGAAAGTCTCAGGAAGGTTTAAAAATAATCTTTTTATTTAAAATAATAGCAAAATATGTGCGTAAAATCTCAGACTGTATGATTTGCTATTAAATAACAGAAAATTGAATTTACAAAATAAAGTGGATTTATAGCTGGATTGGATTATTCAATTATGGCAAAGCACACGAGGGCTATCTGCCTAAAGGGAGGGGATGCCTTCGTGGAGGACTTCCCAAGGGAAACTGGCTCGTATTACACGCTACACATGGGGAAAACCACGAAAACACCCATGCAGCCAGCCCGTTCGCGGAATTCGAACCTCGGACCGAGCTACCAGTGTTCAGCGTCTTTACCGCTCGGCCGCTGGTGGGCCTGATGTATAGTTGGAGACTACAAAAACTGGCCTAACAAAGCTGTCTTGACGTGATGATCACGCATGCGCAATTTAGCCGAACGGCGTGCAACGCCTCTCTCTCACGTGACTTACCAGAGAAGAAAAGAGATTGTTAGTAGCGAAGTAATGAAAGTGACCGGCTGTATGCCAGCGTAAGGATAAACGTGGTTCTATTTTTGCGTTAATCGTATGTTCTTGTTTCGTTTGTGTTCTTAACGTTATTAACATAAAGTACTGGTGTCGTTAAATGTCTGGTTTTAAGCGATGCCCATATTTAGTTCACGTTCCACGTTACGCAAACATATACCCAGAACCCGACCAAGAAGCAGAATATGACAAAAGCGTTAGCTGAAACTTTTAATTACGCTATTTAAAACTTCGGCTAACAAAATGGCTAATACCAAAATACTAGCTTAAGAGTGTTAGACGATAGAAAGTAAAAAATGCGAGCGTTACTGCCAAAGCTCTATATCCAGCTAAAACTTTGAAGAATTCCGCCTTAAATACGTATACTCATTTGCATCCTGGTGCATACCAGCAAAAAGAATCTAAAATTCTAAATCATATGAAACCGGGTTAATTAATGAAAACGGTACAAATTTATCTCGAAATAACCGAATGTAAAAGTATTTTTCAAAATTGTATCTGAAATACTTTGTAATTTATATTATAAGTACTACGAATAACCCCATCAAAATAGGTTCCTCAATTGTGCTAACTACAATATATAATTGTAATTCATATTGTTATATTTTACTTAAACACAAAATGTAATAAATATTTTGTGTCCATAATTCAGTTATCTTATTTGCTTATTTCAGTTCCACCTCTTGGCAATACTAGTAAAATACTAGTAAAGGAATCTGGCCCTCGTCGCTTGATGATCGAGTGGAGCAGGGACGCTTTCTCAGATTACATGGGAACTTTGGTTCGCTATGCCGTACTCGTTGGTTTAAAGGATGCATTAGGTATTTATTTATATTTCAAATACAACAATACTGTACGAATCGAGGCTCAAACAAGAAATAAATATTTGATTTGTTTATAACAGGAAATGCGACAAGTGGTAAAACATCCGAGAATCTCCCGAACTGGTCGAAATTCATTGCAGGGGAGAGCAACTGTTACCAAGCCACGCCACCTGAATGGAATCCTTTCGACAAAAGTATGGAGAACTTTTGTTTTTCTCAACTTTAATTCGATGCCTTTAGTGATAAGTGATAAGTGACGGAGGGCGTGGGCACCATCCCTCTACCATGATGGTCAATTGGTATAGCGCCACGTCCTCCCTTATCTAGAGTCCAGCTTGAGGGGTCACACGCGAGCCTCGCATAGGACGCCCTGTCCCAACGCCCGGACCGTACCGTCAGCAGTCATGCCGACCAAATGCCAACGGAGTGGACCCCCGTCCAAAGTGTCCGGGCGCAGCGTATATTTAACTCCAATAAAAGTTTACATGGCCGAACAGAGGCAGTAATACATTCGTTTGATATCATTGTGCATAAGTGCCACTCAAATGAATAATAATAAAATTAAATAAATAATAAAAAAAAAACCTAAATGCATGAATACCTGAGAACTTATTGCGTGTGCATTTGAGTACTGAGTACAACGTTACCTGGATACTGAATACATTAATTTTAGCATACTTTTGTAACATGTTCATTCGTACACACCGACCTAATTAACCACATAAATACGCACATAAATACACACATAAATACACTTAAAGACATAATAAATAAATACCTAAATACATAAAAACCTGAGAATTGGTTACGTGTGCACATGAGTGTTAAATATAACGTAACCTGGAGACTGAATGCATAAATATTTGCATACATTTGCGACATGTTCTTTCGTACAAATCGACCTAATTAAAACACATATATACACACATATATACATAAATTCACAAATGCCGCTTAAATACATAATAAATAAACACCTATATGCCTGAGACCAGTTACGTTCGCACATGCGTACTAAATGCAATGTTACCTTGAATCTGAACACATAATTAATAGCAATCTAATAACTTTTACATATTATGCATACCCCTGTTGTATATATATCAGCATGTTACCAATATTTACTTTACGCACTTTTACTTATTGGTACTTCTATCTTTGCATAATTATCATTACATAATTTATATATATTGTAATTGTAACCTGACTAGTTTTAATCGTGCCAAAGCGTGTGTCTCTTCAGGCTGCTGTATGCTACTATCACTAGGCACTTTGACATAAATCAACATTGGGGTTACCTGGTAAAGGGAAAACTAGTTCTCCAATAAAAATGATGGTTGATGACGAGGGATTCGATACTGATAGCTGATTGGTTGTTAAAAACGAACAGCTTACTCTTTTTTTTTTTTTTTTTTTTTTTTTTTTTTTTTTTTGTTGTTGTTGTGTGTGTGAAAGAAAGGAAAAATCGTGCTTCTTTTTTTCTAGGCTGCTATCACACATCGTTTGTTTCGGAAGAACAACTGTTTGGAACAATTTTTCTGCTTTATCACTATAGCCAATCACCGCAGATCACTTTAGAGTTAAAATGTAAGGGGAGAACCCGGTTCTTCATTACAAACAAGCTGATAGCTGATTGGTTAAAAACGAACAACTTGCAATTTTTTTCGAAAGGAAGGAAAAAATCGCGCGTCAAGGCCCATACCACACGGCGTTTGTTTCACACGAACAACTGTTTCGGGCAATTTTTCTGCCTGGTTTACTATTGAAAGAAAGACGTGAGACTTTTTTCTTCCTTTCCAAAAAAATTGCAAGCTGTTTCAACCAATCAGCTATCACCTTCGAATATCGACTTCTACACTACATAGAGGACCTTCACACTAAAGAAGATTTACATTTATCCTATGTCAGCATAGAAAGCTTCCAAGATCCTCCTGACTTACACCCAGGAGATCTACCCATCCTTCCCTGGTGCAAATCGCCACCCAGGAGATCTACAAAGAGAGATTTTCTCTGACGGTTCAAAAATTTCAGGACGAGTAGGGGCAGCGTTCACGGTCTTTTCGAACAATGAAGAAAATTCTCAAGCACAATTCTGTCTAAGCAACCATGCTTCAGTCTTCCAAGCCGAGTTCTTAGCACTCAAAGAAGCAGCACTATGGTTAGGTACGCAACCAGCAGCTCACACTTCATTCTTCACAGATAGCATGAGTGTTCTGAATGCGCTGAATTCCTTTCCTCCAACACATCCGCACACGGCAGCACTAAGAGAGATCCTCTTGACGTTAGGCTCTTCCATACCTTTAATGATCAATTGGATAAAAGGACATACCGGGCAGAAAGGCAACGAGCGAGCGGATGAACTAGCTTAGACTGCAGCTCTCAAACCAGAAATTGACAAAGAAGTTCCGCTTTCCGCAGAAGTTGCAAAAAGGCTCCTCAAGACAACATTTCAAGAGACATGGTCATCACGATGGTAAGAAGAAGAGACAGGAAGATTTACTTACAACATCTTCCCAATACCTTCTCTCAAGACGCTCAAATGCAACCGACTCTTCCTCCAAGCCTGTACAACCACGGGAAATTCCCAGAGTATTACAGACGATTCCTCAGACGGGACGTCAACTGTTCTTGCGGTTTTCGCGGGGAAGATGCGGACACACTTCATTACCTGCTCTCCTGCCTTCTGACAGGGCACCTTCGACAGCAGTTCTTTCCTTCCGACTACATCACGTATCCTGTGAATAGTCTGTTCACGGACTATGACTGCAACAAGGGCATCTTAGAAATAATGAAGCAAGTGAATGAAAATAATTATATCCAAGAAACTACAGATTAATGTAAAATGTAGAAAGGCGGCCTAACCGTCAGATTGCTAGCAATGACTAGGATGACTTCCTAACCCTGTAGTGCCATTAACTTAGTTTGGCGGAACAGGTTAAGTAAAGTGACTATATATCCATATATCACCTTCGAATGCTTTTTCCCTGTCCGAAACAGTTGTTCGTTTGAAACAAATGCATGTAAAGAAAAGCAGGTAGAAAGCAGATTAAAATCAGGAGGAAAAATTATCTGAAATAGTTATTCGTTTGAAATAAATGGATGTGTGATAATATGCTTACAGAAAAAAACGCATATCTCGAACAATAATAATATCAAATAAAACACATATCCTGAAAGACCTGATTTTCCTATTCGAATAAAATCTTTTTTAAAGCGTATTTTTTTCAAAAATAACTCTTGCTCTTGCCATTTGCTCTGTTTTTCTCGTCTCCATCACTACAAGAATAAAAATGTTATATGCTGCCTAAAAGTTATAACTTTAATTGTTCAAAACGTATGTTCAAAATAATATCACAATATTGTGAAGTCGTTGTGACCATATCATTGCACCTTTCCAAGAAAATTACTTGACCGACGGAAAGATATGTAAGCTTGAGAAGCAGAATAAACAAATCAGCATTCATACATACTTATTTAATTATTATCTTCAATATTAAATTTCTTTACGATTCAGTTAAATGTAAAGTTAGTAAAAATATTAAAAATGAGTTAAAATCGAAAGACTTACCGTACAGCGAAATGATAGTCTTTCATAATGCAAATTACAAAACCTCTATTGCGACCAAATTCATGGCATAAACCTTATACTAAAATTACATGCAAAACTTATAAGGTATTTCTCCCGCCTTCCTGGCGTACCTTCGTGGTGTAGTGGTTCTGCACGTTGTCCCGTATTTCCGAGTTCCGTGGTTCTATTCCTGGCAAAGGCGATTGCTCATTTTTCATCTTATACCTGCTTCCAAAAAACCTAATGTCTCTACGCAAACTAAGTAATAGAAAAAATTACGCAGCTGGAAAGGGTAATCCGGCAAGATTTTGTACTGCATATCTGACCGTTTATCCAGCTAGACAAAACCGTAAGCTAGATTATAATTTACTTTTATCACTGCTAAGAAATAGAGAAAATAGGTAAATTTTCATGTGATATAATCGTCTTGTTTATGTTGATAAGTCGAATAAAAACAGGTGGATTCTTAATTAAACAAGGAGTTGATTCAATATAGAACGGAAAATGTTGATTCAGTATGTATCATATGCACTGCACATTTTAAAGGCATAACCCAGAATTCATTTATCCATAAAAATTATAAGATTCAAATTAATCCTTTTTGTTTATTCACAATATTATAATTAATATTGTTTACAACAACTAACTGGAACTGAATTGCTGACTTTATAGCTCACTCCAGTGACTCACTATTACTAATTTTAATAGCTCATTCTACTTCTCTCGCCAAAAGCAAGTTTCTAACTCTTTCCTTCTCTTAGAAAGTATACTTATTTTTTATTCAATACTTAAGAGGACCAGACACTACGTACAGTAAAATCCGGATTGATAGCATCCGAATTAACAAGTACTTATATAAAACTGTTAACAGTTTTAACAGTTTCTTTTCTTTTTTTTTTTTTTTTCTGTTTAAGCGTTGTAGGTAGTTAATTACAAATTTCTAATTGTTTAAAATATGTAAGAAAATTGTAAGGATTATGTTAACTTCATTAACAGTTAAATTTTAAGTTCCTTTCCTGTCGATTATTAACTTCAGCTTACTACTTCCGACCAGAACGTAGTTTTTGAATCACATCTGAATACGTAATGAGGAAGAGCGGTATTTAACCGGGAAGTTCTTCGGTCTTAGCGAGAGAGATACCAGATATGCTGGCTGCACGCGTCCGCCTTTTTAGGCTACTCTCTCGTAAGCTATTATTACGCTCGGCCGTACTTTAGGCCCTTCATAACTTCCCAGTCAATTAACATGCTGTACTGCAAATTTCTGATCTCTTCTACGGAAGTGACCGAACTTCCCATTAGATACTGGTTCTATCACATTTACATAAAAAGTGATGCTGAAAACTCATTCTGGCAGGGAGTGGTAGGTGGGAATCAAGAGAACAAATGAGAGGATTTCAAAATTAAAATTAACTATTAGGAAAATAACATAATCTCTACAATAGCTTTGAAAGAAACAAGAGGAAACTAGAAGTTATCAGCAGTCAAACTTTCTGCAGAACTGAATGATTAAGTACAATTTATGTTAAACTGGAAATTGTGCGAGAAGTATCAGCTGGATGTAAATGAGGAACAAGAAAAGTAGAAGAATGGGAAATTGTGGCACACATTTGCAAAAACTGCGCT